CCTGAGACCCTCTGCTCCAGACCTCCCTCCCTAGCGAAAAGCTGAGCCACAGCCCAATGCTGTGAGGCTGGAGAAGAGCCACCCAGCTTTCCTGTCCCATCCTTCCCACAATCCTTCCCCAAAGGCCCTTTCTGGACCCTGGGTGGCAGGGAGGGATGTGGGCATGTTGGGGAAGTGGGAAACGGAGTCCCTTGAGGAGCACATGGAGATGGAGGATTAGAGCTTCCACGTGGAGGTGGGGAAGGCCGTGCTATGGGTCCCCTTGACCTTGCAACCTTGATGTGGGCTTTGCCCCACTGTCCCAACACCCTCTTGGTTTCCTTGGGGAGGTTGCTTATGGGGAAGGCATAGGGCTGGGAGGAGATGGGGGGCACCCCCTTAGAACTGCTCCACACAGGCTGCCAGCTCTGTGGAGGCTACGGGGGAGGGATAGCAGGAGCAACCAGTGATGCCCCACTTTGGGGGACACCTTGGGAGGAGACCTTCCAAGGGCAGGAGCAAGTATCATGGTTGAAAGCAAGGTTAGGGTTATCTCCTCGCAGGGATTACCAGGACTGGAGACTCTTAAATGTCCTGTCTCTGCTGACAGCCTAGAGTCCCTCAGTGGGGAAGCGATGGAGAAGAGCTGCAGAGGATGCACTCTGCCTGGGTGCCAGCCTCTGCCCCGTGCTACACTCACCGTAGGTCTGGTGCGTTTTGGAGAAGCTGTTGGAGGAACTTTTGAAGGAGAACTTGCTGGTCAAGCCCCGGCCGCTGCCGCCATCGTACATCCCCTCGTTGAGCTGTGGCAGCGAGACGGCATTCTTGATGATCGGCGAGATGGCTGGTGGGGCAGGCGATGCCCCCGCTTGGCTCCCACTGCTCCGGCTCCTCAGTGGTGTCCGGCGGACGTGCCGCAGTGTCCGGGCGAAGAAGTTGTTGGCTTTGGTGGTGTCAGCCCCACCATGGTTGCTGAGGAAAGAGGTGTCCCCAAAGACATCCCCACCGCGCCCCACGTGCATGGTGTGCCGAAAGTCCCCCAGCGGCGGGCTGATCATGTCCGGTGTCAGCTCCGACTTCAGCCGCCGCTTGCCGTGGGAGCCTGACACCCAGCTGAGCACTGGCAGCTTCCCTAGGCTCATGTTGCACGCCTCACCTCACTCCTGCTTTTGAGAAAGTCCCAAAAACCAGTCCTTGCTGGGCTTCCAGCACTGGGGAGGCCTGTCACATCCCCGAACTCTGCGTCGCTTCTGCTCCAATGCTTTTGGGGGAATGGCTCACGTCACCTTGGCTTTCAGCAGGTGGGAAGGGTGCCTGCCCCCCTCCTTCCCTGCACTACGTCGTGCTCATGAAATCACCCGCACTGGGTATGTCCCCGGTGGCAAGGATGGTGGCGATGAGGAGGTGTCCCCAGGGGATGTGTAGGGTCACCTCCGGTGCAGTGGAGGCTGCTGGAAGCTATGTCTTCTGCGGCCACCAGGTGAGCAGGAGCTGGTCACAGATGGAGCAGCAGCTCACGGGAGCTTGGGGTGGGCTGGCAGGGCAGACTCCTTGGTCCCCTTGTCAGCCACCTAAATAAAATAAGAGGAACGGTGAAGCTCTCGGAGAGGATTTTCCCAACCAGATGAGCTGTACCCCTGGGACTGGCTGGGGAGGTTGAAGGCAGTGAGTGGACAACAGTGGGGAGGCTGCTACTGTCTGTACCTCTCACCTGTCCCTCTTCTTGCGGAGGAAGAAAAAGGCTTTCCCCCAAAAAAACATGCACTCTCCCTCACCCTCCTGACCTCCCTTGGTGTGCCTCAGTTTCCCCTGCCAGCAAAGCAGCTTTGCTGGGCCCATGCTGCAATGCAGCCTGAAGATTTCCCTCCTAGGCAGCACCTCCTCCCAGAGCAGTGCCCTGCCTGGCTGCCCAGGCTCCCAGGGTGAGAAACCTCTCCCTCCTTTTTGCTATTCAGATGAACCCTTAGGGAAAGGGTGAGGCCTGGGGACTGCGTGCTTCTTGGGGAGGAGGGGCAGCAGGGAATGAAAATGCAATGTTTGTATATTGGTTTGTTTGTCCTCTTCTGGCTGTGTCCCCAGGGTGCTGGGCAGACACGTCGAGCAGCAGGGAGCGGGGGGTGTGGGGAGGGCAGCTGCTTTGCAGGCAGGGGAAACTGAGGCACAGCAAGGGAGGTGATTGCTCGAGGTTTGATGAGAAGGTGGGATGGGTCCCTACGCTCAGGCAGGTCCCAGAGGCACTGGGGGGCAGGGAGGGAGGCAGTGGCTGGGCCCACGACAGCAGGGTGGTGACCTCCCTGGTCAGTGGGGAGCACACTCAGATCAGCTGATCTCCTGTCTGTGTATGGCAAGAGGGAGAGGGCGGGTTGGGGAAAGGTGAGGATTCGGGATATGGGGCACCTCAGAGCAGCAGTAGTCCGAGTGCCCACCTGGGGACATGTCCCTCCCTGGCCTCAGCAGCCAGGGGGACAGGACAGAGCTGGGTCCCTTCAGCAGGGCTGGTTGCGGAGGGCAGCATGCCAAGAGGCAACACGGGAGCCACGCGTCCCTCGGTCCCTGTGTGCCAGGACCACCATCGCTGCGTGGCTCCATCCCTCTCCCCATGCTATGCTGCCTGCCTCCCCCACCTGTCCCCAGGTCACCTGTGAGCAGTCAGGCAGTGCCAGGGTGGTAAAGCCTCTGGTGAGGGGGAGCCCTGGATGTGAAGCTGCTTTCTTGGCTGGCTACATGTATTTTTGCCTTGCCCCGACCTTGTTTGCTCACCCTCTTATCTGCCAGGGGTTAATGCCTGGGGAAGGGAAAACAAACCTCCCCCAGCAGCTCCCAGCACCATTGGCTGCCTCCCAGGGTGGCAGTGGCCAGTGGTGGCAGTGGCCGGTGGCAGCAGGCAGGTTGGCTTCCTGCTGGTCCCCAGCTCCCTGGCTCATGCAGCCCATGTCTGCCTCCTGCCATGCGGTGCTGCCTCGTGGTTGGGATGGGCCAGGCACGTGGCAGATTTGGGGTGGGAGGACAACCAGGGAGCAATTTTCTCTGTCTGTCAGAAGCCCACCCATAGCCACTGGGTCAGGGCTCTCCTGGAGTGCAAGGAAACCACTGGGGTGGTCCCTGCAGCACAATGGAGGTCTCCAGACCACAGGGAGAGACATGCGACCCCCATTTTTGAGCTGTCCCCGGGTCTCGCAGGAAGACGTGTGCCGCTGGGAGAGGGTATTAGGCAAGTTACAGCCCTCGGGTTTTCCTTTCTGTCTGCACACTGGAGCCCCTGAGAAACCCAAAGTGAGGACTGTGCCCTTCAGCATGTGCTGCACCAGGCTAC